GGGACACCCAGGCTCACCCCCATTCCCAGGAGTCGGAGCAGGGAGATACCCAGGCTCAATCCAACCCAGGTTCTTGGGATTTGGAGTGGGAGGACATGCAGGCTCACCCCAGGTTCCCAGGAGTTGGAGCAGAGGGAATATCCAGGCTCACCCCAGGTTCTTAGGAGCTGGGGGGACATTCAGGCTCACCCCCATTCCCAGGAGTCAGAGCAGGGGAATACCCAGGCTCAATCCAACCCAGGTTCTTGGGATTTGGAGTGGGAGGACACCCAGGTTCACCCCCATTCCCAGGAGTCAGAGCAGGGAAATACCCAGGCTCAATCCAACCCAGGCTCTTGGGATTTGGACAGGTTCCCAGGACTTGGAGCAGGGGGACACTCAGGCTCACCCCAGGTTCCCAGGACTTGGAGCAGGGGGACACTCAGGCTCACCCCAGGTTCCCAGGACTTGGAGCAGGGGGACACTCAGGCTCACCCCAGGTTCCCAGGACTTGGAGCAGGGGGACACTCAGGCTCACCCCAGGTTCCCAGGACTTGGAGCAGGGGGACACTCAGGCTCACCCTGTGTTCCCAGGAGTCAGAGCAGGGGGACACTCAGGCTCACCCCAGGTTCCCAGGAGATGGGATGACACCCAGGCTCACTCTGCTCTTCCCCCTGCTCCCACAGCCGTGGGGAAATCAACCTTCCTGAAGCTGTTGAGTGCCACCTTCCCTCGGTGGCACCTGGTGGCAGAGCCTGTGGCCCAGTGGCGCAAGGGACCGAGTGGCAGCACAGCTCAGGTAACAGCAGCTTCCCTCTGGCCGTGGTACCAGTCAGCTGGGGTGGCACCCCTCACCCCCAGCTCTCCCTCCCTAGGCATCCACAGGCTCCACCAACCTCCTCCAGCTGATGTACCAGGAGCCAGCTCGGTGGTCCTACACCTTCCAGACCTTCTCCTGCATCAGCAGGCTGAAGGCAATGCTGGAGCCGACGGATGAGCCCGAGACCCCCTGCCCTGTGCAGGTCTTTGAACGCTCTGTCTACAGTGACAGGTACCCAGCACCCCAAAAAAGCAGGAGAGAAGAGAGATGAAGGGATGAAATGGGATAAGGAGCATCTGGAGCACCTGAATTGTGGCCCTGGGACTCCCAGGGTGAGCAGAGTTGTGTTGGGTGGCAGTGAGCTGTGCTGGGTGCTGTGTGTCCCCCAGCATCACTCAGCCCCTGATTAAGGATTTTCACCTTGATTAACCATCTGCAACTCCTGGTTGGTGGCTGAAAGGTGAAAAAAAGGTCTCTGAAGCCACCTGGGCGTGGGGGTGACTCGGGAGGTGTCGCTCCCAGCGGTGCCAGCTCCCTGTGCCCTCTCCATCTCTTCTCAGGTACATCTTTGCCAAGAACCTCTTCGAGGTTGGGCACCTGCAGCCTCTGGAATGGGCCATTTACCAGGACTGGCACAATTTCCTGCTGCAGCACCTGGTGCCACACACTGTCCTCCACGGTTTCCTCTACCTGCGTGCGACGCCGCAGGTGAGCACGGCAGAGCTCCCCGGGGAGGGGTGTGGGATGCATTCAGCTCCACTCAGAGCCTGGAGAGCACCTGGATCTGCCAAAACTTATGGTTTTAAGCATAAAGCAGTGCCCTAGAGGAGCAGGGCCTGCTCCTATTCCCATGGGAATGCAGGTGGGAGTTTTGCTGCGTTCCAGAGCGGGTTTTGGGGAGAGAGGGCTGGGGTGTCTTTTGGGGTCCCTCCTGTGGTGCTGCTTTACCTGCATCCCTTCTGTCCCATTATCCTCCTGTCTCCCTGCATCCTGTTAACCTGTCCTTACCATTATCCTCCTGTCTCCCTGCATCCCATTGCCCTCCCATCTCTCCCATTATCCTGTGTCTCCCGTGGGGCTCAGACCTGCCTGGAGCGGCTGCGGCGCAGGGCGAGGAGTGAGGAGGGAGGGATCCAACTGGAGTACCTGCAGCAGCTCCATGACCAGCACGAGCACTGGCTGGTGGACAAAACCACAGAGTGAGTCCAAATCCATCCCCACCACACTCCCCATGGCACTTCCCCTGATTTGGGGGCTTATTATTTTGGGGAGGTTTAACCCCTGGTCTTCCTCCTCTCCCTCCCTCCTTCAGGGTCCATGGTGCAGCCATGCAGCACATGCCTGTCCTGGTGCTGGATGTGGACAAGGACTTCAAGCAGGATGTGGCCATGCAGGGTGTGCTCATGGAGCAGGTGAGTGGCACATCCCACTGCCAGGAGTGCTGAGACACGGGTGGAATCGTGCTGAGCTCCAAGCCTCAGCCTCATCTTCATTTTGCCATGCTCAAAAATGATTTCCACACTGTGGGTCCAAGTTGGTTTCAACCTCAGCCATCCTGGTGCTGTCCCAGTGCCATCCCTACACCATCCCAGTGCCATCCCTGTGCTGTGCTCTCAGTTGGCTTCTCCTTGCAGGTGGAGGCGTTTGTGACAGCGCTGAGAGCCGAAGTGTTGCCGTCGCATCCTGACCCTCTCTGAGCATCCCTGTGCACCAGTACCCACTGGAGCCAGGAAAGGAGCATCATCCACCTGAGGAAACCAATTCCAAGGACAAGGGACATGTTCTGGTCCCCAACTGTCCCCTCACACCTTACAGTTTGGGCAAGGGCTGTATTCAAGGCGCTGACAGGATAGTTTAAGGCAGATAATCGGAGGCACAGCCGTGTGATGAGTTTTGGGGCAGCAGGATGGGTCCCCCATGCTCCCCCTGTCCTTGGGGGGACCAGGTGTGACCCTGTCACCCCATGTTCCCCCTGTCCTTGGGGGACCAGGTGTGACCCTGTCACCCCATGTTCCCCCTGTCCTTGGGGGACCAGGTGTGACCCTGTCACCCCATGTTCCCCCTGTCCTTGGGGGACCAGGTGTGACCCTGTCACCCCATGTTCCCCCTGTCCTTGGGGGACCAGGTGTGACCCTGTCACCCCATGTTCCCCCTGTCCTTGGGGGACCAGGTGTGACCCTGTCACCCCATGTTCCCCCTGTCCTTGGGGGACCAGGTGTGACCCTGTCACCCCATGTTTCCCCCTGTCCTTGGGGGGACTAGGTGTGACCCTGTCACCCCATGTTTCCCCCTGTCCTTCTGGGGACTAAGTCTGACCCTGTCACCCCATGTTCCCCCCCATGCTTAGGGGGACCAGGTCACCACTGTGACCCCTTCCCCATCTTTAGGGATCCCCAGATGGGCATGCTCTGTAAGGTGGATTTAATGCACTGATCAAATCCCAATGGGAAATCCCAAGGGTTAGTGTTCCCCAACCCCCACAGGTTATGATTTTGTATGTAATTATTTTCCCTTAAATTAAAAACAAAGTGACTCTGTGAGCCCTTTTGCCTCCTGGATTGTGGGTGGGGGGAGCTCTGGTGGGTGCTGTCCCACGGGGTGTGTTATTGCTCCAATGTTGGGGTGTTGTGACCCCATGAGTGGGGGGACAGTGCCCTAGATTTCTCTTGGACATGGGTCAGGCTGGGCTGGATTTGGGGGGAAACCAAGGGGATTTGGCACCTGCAGGGTAAGTTTTGCTGGGGAGGGGAGTTGGGTCTGTAGGTGGATGCCTAAAGTGAGGGAGGGGTACAGGATAGAGGGATGGTGGGGATGTGGTGGTCAATCCCCCCCTGCCTTTAGGGGGGCTACAGTGGGTGTGCAACCCTACAAAAACACAGGTGGGACACCTGCCCTGGAGATAGTGGGAGGGGGATTGGAATGGGGGAGCTCTGGGGTAGGATAGGGGGAAGGAAGGAGGATTTGGGGG